ATAAATTTAAGGATTATTTGTTCTACTTCTGTGAAAAGAGCCATTGGTATTTTGATAGATATTGTATTGGATCTGTAGATTTCTTTGGATGATATGGACATTTTAATGATATTCTTCCTATCCATGACCATAGTATATGCTTTCGTTTGTTTGTATCTTTTTACATTACTTTCTTCAATGTCATAATTTTCTGAGTACAGTTATTTTACTTTCTTGGTTAAACTTAATTCTAGGTATTTTATCTTTTGATGCAATTGTAAATGGGATTGTTTTCCTAATTTCTCTTTCTGATAGTTCATTATTGGTGTATAAAAATTCCATTAATTTCTTAGTATTTATTTTGTATCTTGCTACTTTACAGAATTAATTTGTCAAGTCTAATAGTTTTTTGGTATAATCTTTAGGGTTCTCTCTATTATAGTATTGTGTCCTGTGCAAATAATGAAAGTTTTACTTCTTCATTTCCAATTGGAAGATTTTTTTTTAAGATTTTATTGGGGAATTGGGGGAGGCGAACAGACAAATTGCTATCCTTTTGTTCTTCAGTCTAGTTGTGGAGAGCATCGCTTCACTGGCCCATGTTGGTATTATCACTGCACTCTTTCTGGGTGAGACAGTCACTCACCAGCCCTTGGACGGTGACTCATGGCAGCCCAGCTTCAGGTCAAGATGTTGTTCACCATCTTAGCTGTAGAGGGTGCAGCGTCACTGGCCCTAATGTGGGATCCAAACCGGGGCCCTGCTGCTCAGAGCTGGTGTCCCAAGCCAACTCTTAACCAATGCACCACTCAGCCAGCCACGATTTTTCTTGTTTCTTGAGGCAGGCCTGTATTGCTATGAATTACTCTCTTAGGACTGATGTTTCTATGTCTCATATATTTTGGGTTGTTGTGTTTTCATCTTTGTTTGTCTCAAGGTATCTTTTGATTTATTCCTTGATGTCATTGTTGACCCATTAATTGCCTAGTAGCTTATTTAGCTTCCATGTGTTTGTGTGTTTTTTAGGTTTTGTTTGTTTGTTGCTTTGTAATTGATTTCTAGTTTCGTACCATCATGGTAGGAGAAAACACTTGATATGATTTCATACTTCTTGAATTTATTGAAACTTGTTTTGTGGCCTAACATGTGGTCTATCTTGGAAAATGTTCCCTGTGCATTTGAAAATAATGTATATTCTACTGCCTTGGTGTGAATGTTCTAAAAATATCAATTAAACCCATCCAGTCTAGTGTGTCATTTACATCTGCTGTTTTCTTGCTAACTTATTGTCTGGACAACCTGTTCATTGGTGTCAGTGTGGTGTTAAAGTCCCCTACTATGACTGTGTTACTATTGATCTCTCCTTTTATATCAGTCAATATTTGCTTGATGTATTTATGTGCTCCTTTATTGGTTTTCTAGGGTTATATCCTCTTGTTGGATTAATCTCTTCATCATTATATAATGTCCTTCTTTGTCTCTTATAGTCTTTGTTTTAAAGTCTGTTTTGTCTGATGTAAGTATTGCTACTTCAGCTTTCTTTTTTTAATTTCCATTTGCACGAAATATCTTTTCCATCCCTTTGATTTCAGTCTATGTGTCTTTCAGTCTAAAGTGGGTCTCTTTTACACAGCATATGCATGGTTCTTGTTTTCTTATCTATTCAGCTACCCTATGTCTTTTGATTGGAGCATTTGATCTATTTATATTTAAAGTGATTATTGATAGGTACATGGTTATTTCTATTTTATTATTTATATTTATGGTTTTCTGTTTTTGATGTTGTTTATATCCTTCTTCTTTTTTTTTTTTTTTTTTTTTAAAGATTTTTATTGGGTAATTGGGGGGATGGGAACAGTGATGGGGAATTTGGGGAAGGGGAACAGACAAGTTGCTGTCATTTTGTTCTTCAATCTAGTTGTGGAGGACGCTGCTTCACTGGCCCAAGTTGGCACCATCATTGCACTCTTCCCTGGCGAGGCAGATCAGTCGCCGGCTTCTGGACGGCCGCTCACTGCGGCTGCTGGCCGCTCACGCTGGCTGCTGGCTACATATGGTAGCCCATGGCAACCCATTGCCACAGGGATTGCAGCCTACGCCGTCGCCAGCGACTCACGGCAGCCCAGCTCCAGGTTGAACTGTTGTTCAGCATCTTAGCTGTAGAGGGCAGTGTCACTGGCCCTCATATGTGGGATCCGAACCAGGGCCCTCTGGCATCCCAAGCGAGTTCTTAACCATCGCACCACTCGGCCGGCCCTATATCCTTCTTCTTAAGGAAGTCTCTTTAACATTTTTTGTAATACTGCTTGGTGGTAATGAATTGCTTTAGCTTTTACTTGTCTGGGTAGAGTAGCCTTGGTTGTAGGTCTTTGCTTTTCATCTCTTTGAATATTTTGTGCCACTCCCTTCTGGCCTGAAAATTTTCTGTTAAGAAATCAGCTGATAGTCTTAGGGGAGCTCCCTTTTCGTAAATAGTTGTCTTTCTCTTGCTGTTTTTAGGAGTCTCTCTTTATCATTAACTTTTGCTATTTTAATTGTGATGTGTCTTGGCGTGGGCCTCCTTGGGTTCATGTTGTTTGGGACTCTGCACTTCCTGGCATTGTATGTCTATTTCCTTCACCAGGTTAGGGACGTTTTCAGTCATTATTTCTTCAAATAGGTTCTTGATCCCTTGCTCCTGCTCTTTTCCTTCTGGTACTCCTATAATGTGAATGTTGTTACACCTGATGTTGTTCCAGAGGCCCCTTAAGCTATCTTTGTTTTTTTTTTTCTTTATGTTGTTTTAATTGGATGTTTTATACTACCTTATCTTTCAAATCGCTGATTCAATTCCCTGTTTCATCTAATCTGTTGATTTTGTTTAATATAATCTTCCTTTTAGTTATTGTACTCTTTATTTCTGACTGGTTCTTTTTTATGATTTCTATGTCCTTTATGATTATTATCTCTGCTGAAGTTTTCACTAAGTTCCTTAAGCATTCTTATAATCAATATTTTGAACTCTGTCTCTGATCAGTTGGTTGCCTCCATTTTATTTAGTTCTTTTCCTGGAGTTTTCTCCTGTTAATTTATTTGGAACATGTTCTTTTATTTCTTCATTTTATCTTCCTCTCTGTGTTTATTTTTATGTGTTGGGTAGATCTCCTAGTCTCTCAGTCTTCCCTGGATGGCCTTATGTAGTAGGTGTTCTGTGTGACCCAATGGCATAGTTTCTCTGATCACCTGCACCAGGTACTCCAGGAGTGTCCCTTGTGTGGGTCATGTGTGGCCTCCTAGTATAATTGTGCTTTGATTAGTTTTGGTGTGTCATTGGGTAGGTTTGACTTCCAGCTGACTGTGAGGACTGGCCATGCTCACAGTGTATGAACTACTGTGTGAAGGTTAATCTCTCAGAGGGGGATTTGCCTCCGCAGATTTCTGTGCCTATTGAGACACCTGTTGGGTGTGCCACCTCTGAGGCTAATTGGGTAGTGCTTTGTTTTGGTCTGAAGCCAGCCTTCATGTATGTTCTTTCTGATACCTCTTGGGAGGGTTTCCCATGCAAGCTAAGTTCAACCTTGACTGTGACTGGCCCGGAGCAACCTAATGGGAGCTACAAAGCTATATGCAGTTGGTTGCTGCCTGTGCTGGACCTGGAGGCATGTGGGGGTGGCCAGCTGAGAACGGAGGCTTGCTGTCACTAGTATTTGGCTTGTGGCAGTTTAGCAAAAGGCCCAGGGCACCTCTAGGACTATTGCTACCTGTCAGCTGCCTGTAAGGCTCAGCCACTAAAAAGAGCCTCCTTAATTTCCCAGGGTTAGGCTGGTTGCCCTGTTGGGAAAGTGCTTCTGGTGCCACCTCACAAGCTGGGTTGGGCAGGTTCCCAGGTTATCACTGGGAAGGTGGTATTCACAAGGTTAATGCAGATTCAGTTCTTTGCCCAGTGCCTAGCCTGTGTCCACTCACAAAATACCCAGAGAACACTGAGGCCAGCTGCTTCTCACTCTGGGCCTGCATATCCCCAAGACTTGTCTATGAAAGGCTGCAGCCTTAGTTGACACTGACTTCCTGCCACTGAAAGCATCCCAGGCAGTTGCACAAGCTGCTGTGGGTTGTTTGCTGCTGGAAGAGCCTCCAGCAGTGTGTGATACGGGGCTGGCTGCCCATTTGCTAAGAGTGCCTGAGTAGGGTGGGACGGCATCGCAGAGAGTCTCTGGAGTGGGGCTGCAGAGTTCATCAGGCCAATGCAGTTTCAGGTTTGGTCATGTGGGGGAGGGCTCAACACAGGAAAGATGGCACCTGTCTATAAGCTGTATGTAAGTTGGGTTCCACACAGGGATAATGGAGACTGTTCCTCTAGCTCTCACCCTGAAGCCACATAGCTCAGTTTTATCCTGTATGTCTCTGGCACCTCTTGAATTGCCGTTTTTTCTTCTGGAGCCCAGGGTGAGTGCCTGCAAGTAAGTGAATCTGTGCACTGGCCCTTTAAGAAGATGTCTGGGTTTCTAGCTGCCTTCTACGTCACCCAGATGGGCAGAATCCTCACTGATTTTCACAGCCAGATATTGTGGGGATTCCTCTTCCCAGTTTGGATCCCTGGGCTGGGAAACCCACTGTGGGGCTGGGACTCTCGTTCATCAGGGGAACATCTGCCACTGACGTGTCTCTCCCAGTGCTCAACCACTACCTGTGGGCGTGAGGCAGCCCATTCCCATCTCCGCTCCTCCTACGAGTCTTAACATGGCCTCTTCTTTATATCCTTAGTTATTGGGGTTCTATTCAGTTAGTCTTCAGATGGTTCTTGAGGTTAATTGTTCCATAATTTAGTTGTAATTGCAATGTAGTCATGGGAGGCAGGAGACACAGTGTTTACTTATTCTGCATCTTAGAATCTACTCCTAATTCATACAGAATATTCTTAATGTCTCAATGTAAAATGTAGTTTTAATGAGTCAGATATTCAATTTTGGTAATTTAATAAACATGAGTTGAACATTCATTATTGGAAACTTACTTATATTATGATCATTAAATATTCACAGCAATTGGTTTGGATTCTTGTCCTGAACCACAAACTCCTAGCAGTGGAATTAAAATTGGAGACAGATACATGGTTGGTGATGTGGTATCCTTTCAGTGCGATCAAGGCTACTCTCTTCAGGTAAATCTATTGTAAAATCATAATTTTGATTTTCATTGCCCTTTTCAAATATTTTAACAAACAAATGATTGTAATCCACAAGTTTTAAAACAATATTGATCTTGGCCATTATAGTTTAGCCTAATGTCAAAAGCCATTCGATTTGTCAATAAAATATATTCATGAGAGAAATTGCTGAGATGAACTAAATTTGTTTTTTTTGCAGTAATCAAAATGATTTTTGAATCAATGTAGTTTCCACTGTTCTCTCTATTCACATAGGATGTGACAGCTGAACTCCCAGGTCTTTAGAATTTCAAAATGAAAATGAAGTACTACGTAAAACATTAAATGAAACTTCCATGATAATAAAGTCCCTAAATTATTGAAACTCAACTAGCAATATATTTTGCTATAGACGTGGATTTGCAATGTACATTTTGATGTTTTTTGTATTTATATTGATCCTCTGTTATAGGTTTTTTGAAGGGTCTCAAAATTATGGCCTCATAAAAATTTTCCTAAAGGATACACTTATTAAGAAATTATGTGAAAAAAATTGAGGCACAAACTATATCACATGTTAATTAAATAAATTCCTTAGAGGAAGCCAAATTAAAAATAATATATTGTCTTTGTTAGTTGTAACACAAATTATTTCTCTCAGAAGAAGTGTAATCAGATCTTTCTGGATTTTATATTTCAATTCAAAATTTAATATACCTTAATTGATCTGTTTTAGTATTTTTATGAAAGTATTTTATAATTATTTGTTAACCTATCTCACCTTGAATATCACAGGAATTTATTATAAATCACTATGTCTATGGCCATTTCACTTGTGTAATCATTGTACTATCTTAGTATATTTTTGATAGAAAAAATTTTAAAACTGTAATTCTAACATGATATGGAGTCTTAATTGTTCTACCATGACCTTGTTATTTTTTATATTTTATCACAATTGTGTATAGTTACCTTTCTTATTCTAAATAATTCTAAAATTTCCAGTGAAAGTTAAAAAATATGAAAATGACATATATTTAAGCTTGTTTTCATAATAACCATTCATTATGCTATGTTTAATTTAACTTTTTAGAATGTGTACTGAACTGCATTGTCTTGTTTATATAGGGTCATTCGCACATTACATGTATGCCTGGACCTGTAAGAAGATGGAATTACCCAATTCCAATTTGTTTGGGTAAGTTAAAGAACTATAAATCATTTAGAAGCTTTATCAAATTTTAAAGCTACACTCTGTGTATGATGTTCAAAAAGATAGTTTTCCTTTTGTTAAGTTTTATGGAAATGATACTTTGAGATAAATGTTTCATATCTTTTTTTAAAAAGTTTTTAATTTAAATTTTTTTATAGATTTTTACCCCAATTCAGTATCAATGTAGAAACTGAGAAAATATATTAGGTTTTTTTGATCCCCCAGAAAGTTTTCTCAGTGTGATATGATAGAAATACCTATGGATTAGGAAAATAGCAAATATTCTTATGACTGAGCCAGAGTAGGTAAGGAATCTGGAGTCTACCAAAGGGAGAATGACACTAAATGAGATGTCTTCAATGGTAACAGGCAGTTGAGATATGGACTATATCAGAAAGGTCTTTAAGGCTTTAAAAAGTAGGGTCCCAAACTTTTGTCCTAAATTAATGCATCTTCCAATTATTTTTATCTAACCTCTCACCCCCCCCAACTATTTTCTTTCTCATTTCTTGCACCTGTATGCAACCATTAATATACTGGGCTATAGAGTATGAAAAGATATGTGAGGTATTATCCCTATTATTAATATATCCTTTTACCATTTAGAGTGGCAGACATAAAAAAAATGAAATAGGGTGATTTAGTGTTAGATACATGATAGAATTTCAGAAATGTGAGACTGGTATTCACTGAAGTCATTGGGAAACATAGCTCATAAAATTTACAGAGTTAGGATGATAAGCATAATTAAGATAAATGGATGAAGACAAAAGCCCTTTCTGAGTAAGAAGAGGACAAAAACAAAAGAATTGGTGTGACTTGTATAACTCCCTTCTGTACAGTAACCAAACCTGTAATTATGTTTTCTGGGGTTACCATAACAGAATACCACAGACTGGATTGCTTAAGCAACAGAAATTAATTTTCTCACAGTTTTAGAAGCTGTAAGTTCAAAATCAAGATTCTGGAATGGTTGTTTTCTTCTAAGAGCCTCTTTCCTTGTCTTGTAAATGACTGTCTTCTCCCCACATTTTCACATGGTCTTTTCTCTGTGAGCAAGCACTGTTTATATTTATCCTCTTCCTGTAAGGGCACCAATACTACTAGATTATGGCCCAACCCTTATGATTTTATTTAACCTTAATTACCTCCTTAAAGGCCCTATCTCCAAATACAGTCACATGGGAATTTAGGGATTTAACATATGAATATTGGGGGGACAGATTTCAGTCTGTAACACCTATGTACTCTATGCACAATTCTTGTTGGAGAGTACTGGAAAATAATACCTAAGAGTAAAGATAAGTTTAATTGGCAAAAGATATTCACAGCATTTCAACTTTGGATTAGATGATATTTTTTAAAGGACATATTTCTTTACATATTATAAATAATTTATAAATGCATATAATGCCAATTATATGTGTTATGCATATAGGGTGTATATGTGTGTATGTATCCAACTGAGTATAGAAAATTGGGAGTATAAAAGAGCACAAAGAGTAAAATAAATAGTATGTATGTGTTGCTGATATGAGAGCAGAGGGTTTAGTTCATTAGTTTACCCCTATATTTCCAAACTTAGAAAAGTTCTTATCTTAAATAGGCATCTGATAAATATTGTTTAATGAACAAATTAATATAAAATTTTGGGATTCTATAGTGTGTGTGTATATACATATATATTTATTTTATAATGTTTCCTTCTGGACATTAATTTAGAAGAATTTCCCATCCCATAACGTGTTTTTAAAAATCTGATTTTTAAAATAACTTCATGGCACATAGCAGAGTCTTTAATTTGTGTAATTATTCTCTTTTTGTTAGTCTTTAATGTTTTGTATTTTTTAATACACATTTGTAAATCTTTTCATATGCTGTTATGCATACCTCTATTCACTTAGGATTTTACCTAAGTAGATTAATTGTATCATTCCATGTAACTATTTACAAGTTTTGATGAATATATCCCAATTGCTTTCAAAAAATTCTATCATTTTAAATACTACCCAGTAGCCACCTCAAAATTTCAACTAAACTACAGAACAGTAATTGAGAACCACCTGAAACGTACCTGAACAGAAGTGTTATAACTAAGAATATGCAAAAGCCACGTTGAGACTGATAGGAGGGGTAGAGATGTGGAATGGGCTGGTCCCCCACCCACATGTGGTGATTAAAAATCAGGAAAGCTATGCCGGCTCTGGAGGTACCCACTGAGGAATGAAGGGTTCTAGCCACACACCAAGCTTCCCAGTCCAGTGCTAGGAAGGGAAGACCCCATAACTTCTGGCTGTGAAAACCAGCAGAGGTTGTGGCTGAGTGAGACTGAGGACTGCTGGAGTCCCAAGTGCACCTTGTAAAGGGCCCACACGGATTTACTCACTATTGGGTTCACTTCTTTTGAGTTCTAGTACTACGGTAACAGCTTGAAAGACACCAGGAACATACAGGGAGGAACTGAATTGTCTGGCTTCAGGGTTAGGGCTGGAGGGGCAGCTTTCTTCTAGACAGAGGTGCTAGCAGAAGCCATTGTTCCTTTGTTGAGCCTTCCTGGTATCCGGCCTTCACATGTAGGTGGGCACAATACCTGAGTCTCCATCAACCTGGCTAACACCATCGCCCTGTCCTGGTGATTCCTTGTGACCCAACCCCACCAAATTTTCAGGCCAACTCAACCTGCTCCCAGTGGCTTTTCTATTCTGGTGGCTTTTCCATAAAAATGGCCTGTCTTGACTCATGATGTGGACTTTCCTAAAATCTTCCAAAGGTTCACAAACCTCAAACAAGTAGCATCAGGCCTGAGTGTGCCACTTATGTACCTCTTGCTAAGCAGTCCAAAGCCTGGCACTAGCAGCCGCCAGCCTTGGTTGACAGCTTAGCCTCTCTCTAGCACCTCCAAATGCAGCAAAACTATCGCCATCTCCAAATCACTTTGTAGCTCATACTAAGTTGCTTCATGCAGAGCACAAACAGCAGCTGATGCTGGCCTATAACAGAACCCCTCCCTAAAGCCCCTAGAAGCAACACACCAGGTGGGCAGCTTCACACCACACCAGAGCACCATGCAACCACCTCCACAAACAACACACCTGAAGAGCAGAATGAGCTGGTACCAGAGTACTGATAAAGCAAATCCTGCTCCAGAGGGTCAGTCCCTGCACAACAGCTCCTCTGCTGTAGCCACGGCCAGTCCTCACAACCAGTTAGCTTATGAATCAATTCCTCCTATTGATGTGTAAACAGCAACCATGGCTCAACTACAACAGGAGGGCACACACAACCCTCAGAAGGGGCTTGCACATCATTGGGTCTCCCACAGCACACCTACTACATAAGACCACTCTACAAAGACCGGGAGACACAGCAGTTCTACCTCTAATACATACAAAGAAATACAGGGAGGCAGCCAAACTGGAGAGACAAAAAAAAAAGTCTTAAGTCAAAGAACAAAGCCAAACTCCAGAAAAAGAACTAAACAAAATGGAGACAAGCAATTTACCTGAAGCAGAGTTTAAAACACTGGTTGTAAGAATGCTCAATAATCTCAGGTAGAACTTCAACAAAGAGTTTGGAAACATAAAACTAGAGATAAAAAATATACAACATACAAAACGACCAGTCAGAAATGAAGATACAATAACTGAAGTGAAGAATACATTAGAGAGAATCAACATTAGATTAGATGAAGCAGAGGGCCAAATCAGCAATTTGAAAGATAAAATAACAAGAAACAGCCAATCAGAACAGAAAAAAAAAAAAAAAGAGTCCAAAAAAATGAGGAGAAATTAAGGGACCTTTGGGACAACATCAAGCATATCAACATTTGTATCATATGGGTACCTGAAAGAGATGAAAGAGAGCAAGGAATTGAAAACCTATTTGAAGAGAAATTAACAGAAAAATACACACACACACACACACACACACACACACAAACACACACACACACACACAAACACACAAACACATGGCTCCAAACAAATGTATACCNACACACAAACACACACACACACACACAAACACACAAACACATGGCTCCAAACAAATGTATACCCATTTTAAGAAAGGAAAACTGTATTAAAATTGTAATACTAATATATACTGATAACAAAAGATGAATACAAGTCTTCTTGACTGCTGCAATTACAAGAGGTGCTCAAAGTGGTTACCATCAGCATAATTTTAATGCAGTTTTTTCCTTTCTTAAAATCTGTACACATTTTTGGCACCTCTGTGCGCATGTGTGTGTGTGTGTGTGTGTGTGTGTGTGTGTGTGTGTGTGTGTAGAGAGAGAGAGAGAGAGAGAGAGGTTGAAAATTGCTCTAGTTTAAGGATGAATGAACTGAGATTTCAGAAGGGTGGAAAAGTATACAGGTATATCTTTAAATCTCAGTGATAATTATGTTTAAAAGAAATATTTATATATAGACTGCAAGATTATATATATCTTCCTCATGAAATCTGCTTAATACATAGTTTATTCAGTTCACGTAAAGATAGCAGTCAAACTTGTTATTGATATCATACAGAACATTGATAAAATTTCAACAGAATTTACATTCATGATATATAACCTGAAGTTTGAGTATCTACATATTGTTATTCTTAACAAGAAATAAATGAGTGAAATTGCAAGTACCTGTTCTATATCGGTGAATTTCAAACTTGATGTTCAATCATGAAATTTAATTCTTCAACCCACAATTAGCAGATGTGTTTTTTAGTCCTTCTATGATGAAATGGTAAAAATGTTCATTTAGAAGAATTAGCTTCCAAAAAGTAATTCCTCTTTTAATGCATGTTAAATGTTCTATTTAATCATGTAAAAGTTAAAATTTGGTAATTACCTGTTTTTATAATTTTTGCTCAGCTTATCAATGGTAAATCAGTATACCAGGGATTATAAAACAAGCACATTGATAAACTATGCATAAATTCTCAAAATCCGTCACATCATTTAACATGTTTTGTACTTCCCTATTCTTTGTCTAGGTTCTTTTAGGATAAAGTGACGCCATATCCCATGCATGATATGTGAATTTCTCACATACTTCCAACAGATACCAATATTTTTTCTGAAAATTCTTTAGCCTTCTCACAAAAAGAGTCAATGAAGGGAAGGGAGTGAAACTGTTCCCTCTTGAACACAGTACTTAGAACGGATGTTGTTGGCTTGACTTTATTCAGAATTATATTATCTTTGAATGAATCAAAACATTACTAGAAGTACTTAAGGATTAGAAATAAACTGCCCGCTGTGGAAAAGGACATGTGCTCCTTGTTTGATTGTATTCTCTGCTCATGAGCTGCTCCCTGCTGTGCTATAATTGATTTGAACTTGCATTTATTGCTGAGAAAGGAAATATGTTGTTTTTATATGCTGTTTTAGAAAATGAGTTGTCAATTGATTATATTTGATCACTAGTGTGTGGTAGATGAAAGTTGACAATATTCAAATTTATATCAAACAGTTTTAATTCAGACTTGATTAAGACTTGAAATGATTTCAATCTGTTTTTAATACAGTGAAGTTTTCCACTGCTCTGGCTTATGCGGACTTCATTATCTTGCAGCTCAGTGCGGTGGTGCTATGTCAGATTTCAGTGGTGTGATCCTCAGCCCTGGGTTTCCTGGAAACTACCCCAGCAGTTTAGATTGCACATGGACAATAAAGCTGCCCATAGGTTTTGGTATGTATATTAAAAACACGTGGAAGAGTTTTCAATGTCATTAAATGCATCCTTAAGAAGAAATATCAATATCTAATATAAAATACTCAATCAAAAATTATAGTTTAATTTGGATTACATATGATTATGTAAATTGCGGAGTGAAATTTGGCTAATTGTTTCTAAGACAAAGTACATCTCACCTGGAATACTTGGATAATTGAAAGAATATGGGCGTTTTCTAATTCTGTAGATAGATAGGTAGATAGATAAGTTTATGATAGTTTCCAGTTTATATGTATAGATGGGTATAGCCTGAGTTAGATGTGTGTGATAATGATAAATTCAACAGGAGCTTCATGCATAATTGTTTTTGTAACTTTTCTTATTGTTTATACTAAGTAGTGAATAGATAAATTATTTTCTGGTGATCTATTTAATTCATCCAATATTCATTGTAAATAAATTAGATTTTACATTTGACAATGTTACAAATTTTCTAATGTTGGATTTAAATACCATGTAAATGTAGTACCTTTCTAATTCTAATAACACAATTCCCAGTGCGTTAGATATATTGCATCATATATTGTATTTCATTTTAAAAATTCTTTCTCACTCTTATATCACAAATATATTCTCTTGCAACATCTTCATATCCCATGAGTCTAAATGCATAAATAGAAGTGGCAGATTGAGAATACACTTCTTCATCCAATCCCAGAAGACTAGGATGAGTAGATATTCCTTGAAGCACAAACCTGGCAGATTTAGAGCAATTAAAAAAATTCGGTACCGTCTTACTTATTGAGGACTGAATTTAAGTACCTGATTACCCAAAAGCATTCTGAGTCTCAGAATACAAATTCATATTTAAACGTTTTACAGAAATTCACAGAAACTCATAGTTTTGACAATTCTTTACTGTATATATTATCCCCCAGGTACTGTGTTAAGTGCTGGGGATAAAATGCATAGTAAAACACACTTTGTGTTTTTTTCCCTAGATAATGAAGAGACAGATAGTTACATATGCTATTAAAATAAAGTATAATAAAGACTCCAGGGTTGTACTTAGTGTGGACTCCAGCCTAGTCTAGGAAATGTAGAAAAGTCTTGCCTGAGGAAGTGATGCTGAACTGTGGCTTTAAAGAGAAGTAAGAGCCAGCCTAACAAAGAGAGTCATTCTATGGGGAATAGCAAAGAAATTCTAGGTAAACAGAGTGACATGTGGAAAGATACAAATGAGAAAGCTACAGAAAGCCTGAACACTGTGTGACTAGCCTGAGGTTTGGGGAGAACAGAAGGCCACTGAGGGAAGGACGCTTAGGGGCTTTCTACCGAGGGTTATCCTAGCTACAACACGGAAACACCGTTAGTTTCAAGTAGTCAAATTGAAGTGTCCATTGAGTAAAAAAGAATACTGACGCGTATGAAGAATAGATTTGAACCAGTATGGCTGTCCTTATGTGTCTTTTACTAGTCACTTAAGAGGGCTCATCCCATGTTGCTTATGAAGCTAAATGAGTTATTTTAAAGTAAATTATTAAGCGTATTTTTAATAGTGCCATTATATTATCTTCAACTTACCTGTTGCTAATTCTTCCTTGATTCCAAAAACCAAGTTCATTAAAAATTAAAAAGAAGACACAGCTCTGTTTTAGAAATGAAAATATAAGAGGCTGGGGGGTGACCGGTTAGCTCAGTTGTTTAGGGCGTGGTGCTGATAACACCAAGGTTGCCGGTTTGATCCCCGCATGGGCCACTGTGAGCTGCACCCTCCCTAAAAGAGTCAACGATGCCCTTGTAGCATGAAAGCAATGCATAACCAATGACCATGGCTGTTCCCCAATAAAATTAAAAACAAAAACAAAACAAACAAATAAAACATGAGGCTGTTCCTGATTTGTTTCATTTAAATAATCCCACTGTTTTCTTTGAGTTTTGGCTAAATCACATATTACTTCTAATGTATTTCCATAAGTAATTCATAATTTTTTCAAAGAAAATTTAATACAGATCAACAGTTATTGAAGTATTTTCTCGTGTTCATGAAACAATTATTGACAAGATAATTTGTGAAAAAGGGGCTCAGGGAAAAATGTTAGAAAAGATAGCACATCTTGGGGTCTCACATAATAAGGTAACATGTTCAAAGTTCTAAGAAGTTTATGATTGTACAAGAGCATGTTTAATATTTTAAATAATTTTTTTCAATATTCCCCATATTTGTCCATAGTACCCTTTTTTCATGTAATGAGGAGTTTCCACGTGACTTTTTTGTTTGAGTACTAAAACGTAACTTTATTTGAGAACCCCAGTGTAGTTACTAAGAGGAAGAGCTTAAGGGCCGGTGTATCTGTCTGAATTTCAGCTCTTTTAAATTGTTGTGAAAACTTAGCACATTTGTTTAGCTTCTCTGTGCCTCAGTTTTGTTATTCTGATGAGTAACTGTGAACATGAAATAAATTAACATATATAAACACTTAAAACAGTGCCTAGCAAAAAGAAAACACTTAATAAATGTCAGATTTTATTATTAGCAATTGGAAAATGGTGGTTGTAAGAAAAACGTCAAATCCACTAAAATAAAATATTAATTGAATTAGGCAAACATACCTCAATGAGGCTTTTATTTCATTTTTTTCCATCCTAGTGACATTTCACTATCTCATATTTTAATTTTGTTTATAAAGATATTGAGACTATTTTATGATATGACAGCATATAACAATGATCAGTAGATTATACTGAGATTAATATATAAAATTAGCATTATCTTCTGACAAGCAAAGTACTAAAAGAGCACACCGATAAATTATATGCCTCTGAATGATATTTTAGAGAAATTAATTTATCCCCTATAGATGAATAACTAATTTCTAACACAATTGTGGAATCTGATTATATAAATCAAAATTGGCAATTATATTTTGGGCTCAAATTGGCATTTTACAAAATGCAAATTACTGATTAGCCTTTTCTTTAAAAATAGGTTGCTATAATTTTAAATAATATTAAAGAACAAGAAAGCCAATTTCTTGATTAGTTTTGCTATGGTGACAATGTCGTAAAATAAAAAAATTTTCCCATGTGACAAATCGTGGGCGTTTGAGAACAGTAGTGTAACTTTGAACCATAACAAATTCATGGCCCAGGTCTAAGGAGCATGCCTCTCAATCTAAATGGAAACATATCTAAGTGCATTAATGTGTGTGTATTTGTGCGTGTATTTCATTTGGCAAAAGAATAAAGTAATAATATGTTTGCTATTTTTCTTTAGGTGTACATCTCCAGTTTGTAAATTTTTCTACAGAAACCATACATGATTACTTGGAAGTAAGAAGTGGATCCTCCGAAACTAGTACTGTTATTGGCCGGCTTAGTGGTCCTCAGATACCATCTTCCTTATTCAGCACGACCCATGAAACCAGCCTGTATTTTCACAGTGACTATTCACAAAACAAACAAGGGTTCCACATTGTATACCAAGGTGAGATGGGTAATAAAAAGTGAATGGATATTTAACCCCAAATCAGCTATTAGCAATCTTACTAACTCTAAGTATTTTCTATTTTTAGAAAGAGACAGGAACCTAAACCATGGCATGCTTCAATTAACAAGATTTTTTTAATAATTTAATTTTCAGGCAACTATATAGAGGGATTGATGTCTTTTTGAAGCCTTAGAGAATTCTAATCATGAAAAAAGGATTAAATTAATATTAATACACAATAAAATTAAGTAAGTCAAGGCAAGGCAGTTAAAGCAAGGCAAGCTGTCTATCAAAGGTTTATCTTTGCTTTTATATAAAAATAAGTGTATTGAAAAGATATTTTGTAGTACTCATCTATTGTATGTAAAGTTATTTTATTTCATTTTATAATGATAGCATAATATGACATTTCTTGATTCTATTCTACAGTCATAAGAATATAAAATAAATATTTTGACAATCATATATTAGGCCTATTTCTGATATAAAAGTGCTGCGTGACCTGAGCAAGATTTTTATCCCTTTTGAATAGGTCTGGTAGACCAAGGCTCAAGTGTTGATTCTCCATGTTTAATTTAAAGTGGCCTAGGGTTCAACTCCATTTTTTCATTTGCATGATGGAATTAGTAATAGTGTCTCCCAGATAAGTTGTTTTGAACTTTATATGATAAAATGAAGGTCAAATATATACCATGATTTATATCATCAGTATTTATTTGGTGCATTTTTAGCTACTTTTATTATATTATTTCAGATCTTAAAAGTCTAAAATTGTAAATTAAAGTTATGATATTTTACACAAACAGTGTAATTCCAGTGACTTCAATGTTTAATGAAAATAACTTAAAATTTGACTATTCTTCTGACTAATTATTAAAGGATTTCATGAGTATACGATAGTTTTGGATGTGAGGTCCACAAGAGCAGGGACCTTTGTGTTGTTCATTGATGTATCTCAGGTGCCTAGAACAGCAGTAAGAGCACAATAAATATTTGCTGAATACAAGAGTATACACCCAACAGGAAATTTAAGTGCAGTTAAAATAGACCCAACATCCAACTGCTTAGGTCTAAAATAATTACAATTTGTATTATGTTGGTGTACATAATTTAAGAGCATGTAACACATCATTCTTTACATAATGCAGGAGTCATTTATACCACCTCTCAGTACACAATTAAGTATTTTCCAAATGAATTTAATTATTTCAGAAACAATTGGGCCACTGATTTTCTTGTTTGCTGCTAGAAGACTTAGAGCGTTATCTGTGGCCCTTCTCTCGCATGTATACAGGGCCTTCTGCCAGTACTTTATTTCACTTAAGCCCATCTTCATCTTCTCTTCCCTGACTTCATTTTCCCGCTGCCTCTCAAAATAATGTTTGTATTTCAATGATGTAAAATTAGAGTTTGAACTTTATTAACTGCATCTTTCTGTCAATGTGTCCTTGAAAAAAAGTATCATTATTTACATAATAAAAGCATAAAAGATATAGAATTTGTTACTGTTGCTGATCTAATATGAATACTATTTACATGAGCCATAAGGTGTTACAATTATCACTAGATATTATTTGTGAATTGCATTGAGTTTTATAACTATCTCTTCTTTTACTGCATTTATGCCATTCAGCTCATGGCTTTTTTAAAGAAATAGGTTACTTTATACAGAGTCACAGAATCAATGTTATTTTTGGATTATCTTGTGATTAGACTTTAAGAACTTTCTGAATTTTTGAAAAATTTGTAGTAATCACTGGTTATAGGCTATAAATTCAGCAGTGTTTATTAAGCATTTACTATCTGAAGTGCAATGGGCAAGGCTTTCAGATGTAATGATGAACAAAACAAACAGGAACTTTGATCTTATGGAGAATGTAGAACAAGAGGGGTGTGAACAAATAAACGTGCAGTTATACTACAGTGCCAAAACTATCATGATAATTAAAGAACAACATTTATATTAGGAGGACATTTGTTTACTAGTACTTTATATTATTCAATAACTTCTTTGGAGCAACTCAACAGAGGGATATTGGGGCTTGTTTCTTTTGGAGAAAAATTCATAAAAACATTCAAAAAGACTCAGAATTAGGTTTATACACATGTTTAATTTATTCTATGTATATGCACTGTAACTAGGAAGCAATTACAATCTATGGAAAGGAATCAGACTATGTTTGATTAAAATTGTGACTGTAAAAGTAGTTTACATTTTCATTAAAACTTATAATTTAGGTAGATTGCATAAGTGGGTGAAGACACTGAATGCATTTTTATGAATTGTACTACATTTTAAATGTGAAAATTGTAGACATGAGAAGAAATTTATATCATACTCTCATTGACATCATTTATTGTAAACCTGAATTACTAGTTATAACCAACTGCAAGCAACACTGCCTCCATTTTGCAAGTTGCAAATAGTGCTCATCTGTGGTCTTCCAAAATTCAGAGAGGAAAACATTCTTTTTCCCTTTGGCAGCCTATCAGCTACAAAGCTGTCCTGATCCACGCCCGTTTCGAAATGGCTTTGTCATTGGCAGTGATTTTACTGTGGGTCAAACCGTTTCATTTGAATGTTTCCCTGGATACACACTAATTGGAAATTCAGCTCTCACTTGCCTTCATGGAGTGAGTCGAAATTGGAATCATCCACTTCCAAGGTGTGAAGGTATGTTTCATCTATGTTTAATATATTTTGTTTTGGCACCCTTTCTTGTCTTCCTTTTCAAATAGCATGCTCAACACCCAGTCTCTCTTTCAGTTGAATAATTATAGTTACTACACCGGTCAAATCCTAAAGCTCCATAATGAATAACTGATCTTGTTATTGGCAGAAGTCCTAACCTTCCCATTTGAAGTAAAATTAAAGTTAACACTGTAGAGCTCCTCGTATGTGTGTGTCTATGTGGGTGTTGTGTGTGTTTAATAATCATTCTTATATAAACCAATAAACCAGATACTGCTATTGAATTTGGGCTCATTTCCTCATAAAAAAACCTTTTAAACAAAAATGCCTTGAATGTCCTATAAGACCTTATGTGTATACATGATGTAAGACAAATAAGAGTTGAATAGTGTATCTATTGATAAGGTATTTGAAAAAAGAGAAGACAATGTAATTTATTAATCTAATGATAGTTAATAACTGTGTAGCATGCCTCATATTGAGAAATAAATAAAAACTGACTATACGAGTACCGGTATTTTGTTCATGGTTTGCAACTGCATTTTATATACCAAACTGAGATAAAAACAATACAGATGTATTTTATACTGCTTAAGAGGTATGAAATGCTTGTCTTTTTCTCTATATTCAATTCACTGTTATTTTATTTTAACATTTTGTTTTGTATCTTTTCTGTAGCTCTTTGTGGAGGGAATATAACTGCAATGAATGGTACCATTTACTCTCCTGGGTATCCTGATGAATATCCCAACTTCCAAGACTGTTTTTGGCTTGTACGAGTAGCCCCTGGGAATGGAATCTACATTAATTTCACTGTCCTTCAAACAGAACCAATCTATGATTTTATTACTGTATGGTAAGCCAGGACCATTGTTATTGTTTGATTCAGCTATATATAACGGTAAAACAAGGTAGCAATGAAAGTTATCACAATCCTCTGTAAACAGAAATTGCCATCTGGTATTTGAATTGGTGTGTAACTGAGGGTGACAGTATGTATTTTGTAGAGTGAAACAAAGAAGAGAAATGGGTTTTGGCTTATTTGCCTGTAAAGTAGCTAAACACTTTGAACAAAAACTTTACATGTGAAAAAAAGATTTAAATTTATTATTAAATTAATATGCAAAAATAGGGAATTAATTGCAATAAGTTTAAGGTAGGAAAGTTCTCTAGAAAAAACAATAAAAATTAAAAGCCTATATTCAAATCACAATTTTAATATAACTATTTAACTTCTGTCATAATAATTTGTTACAAAATAAATTTGTATTATCCTGTTAATTAAAACATCTTTACTTATAAAGAAATCATCTGTAGTAATTATTGACAATTGGCTAATAGCATTACTGTATGAGTTCTAAGATTCCTTCTAAATTTCACAATCTGTTACTCAAGATTGTTTTGAAGAAAATAAAAGCAGGGCAAATCTCAAGTATTTGGGAGGCTCTTGATTGTGGTCAGGAAACCAAACAATGCAATTGTTTACAGCTAACATGGGTGGATTTCATTTAGGTAAAACTGTCATCTATTTTTATACTTTACATTTTTAAATATGGTATCATCGAAATAAACATAAAATATACCAATTCGATTGGGCACTCATTGGTTATTTTATCTGTTGCATCTTCATCATCTCACATGTAATATCTTTATTAAACTTAATGGAAAACTCCAAAAAATTAATCTCAATCTCTTTTTCTCCCTTCTCTGCTCTGTCTCTCTCTGATAGGGATGGGCCAGATCAAAACTCACCTCAGATTGGGCAATTCAGTGGCAATACTGCGTTGGAATCAGTCTATAGCACTTCAAATCAGATTCTAATCAAATTCCACAGTGATTTTACAACAAGTGGCTTTTTTGTTCTCAGCTATCATGGTTTGTATTATCTAAGAGTTTATATTTCACTTGGTACTGTTTAAAATTATCCTGAAAAATAAATGTAAAATATATTTAACACATGATTGAAAAGATATTACAATCTGACATTTTTTTATCATTTCAAATAAATATTTGCTTGCAAAGAATAATCTCTTCTAAGCATTTAGGGACATTAAAATGTAAGCAAATGGAAATCAGAAATAAATCAGTCAGTAATTACCCCATAGAAAATAATCATCTTTTACATGGAAACCAATAAAAGAGAACCAGATGTTCATATTTCATTGCATGTAACTTTGAGACATTAATACATTTTTCAATACAAAATGCTTAATCTACTCAACCTGCTGTGAGTCTTTCTAAAATTAGCATCCAATATCTTTATGCTTTGGATCTTATTACTCATTCATTTATACTCTTGTTTCAAAACTGTATCTACTCTAGAATCATAGTTTTAAGTGACTATTCCATATTATTAAGTTCATAGCTTTTACTGCTGTGGAACAATTTATGAAGAGTTTCAATTTTAATTTCTTTTATAGAATTATTCTGGGTCCTCTCTTCTTAACATTAACTTTTTGAGAGAACATTCATATGGTTTCATAGAATTTTAAAATTTTTCCTTTTATCTCAAATTCATAATTATTTTGTTATAAATAAGAAAATGTTTATTATTTCTAATGATTACATCCCTTTATCAGCTATGACCATACTTCCATGAGACACATTCTGCTTCATAATGACTTTATTCGACCAATACCATGAGTATTTCACAGGATCAATAAGCTACTAAATTAAATTTCTAAGTTATATGAAAATATGCAGCATAGACATGTACTTTGTCCATTACATTAATATACATTTTAATATTTTAATCTTTTTCGACACAAAGTAAAACTGTGGTACTGAAATCTTATATTCCATGAAAAGTATGGTAAGTGAAATATGATTATGCTCACATTCAAAGCACATTGGGTTTAGAAATAGAGAATTGGTCAGAAAAACACTTGATGTGCTTAATCTCAGTACGTATCAGCCACTGGATGGTTCCCAGTTTCTACTTACTTCTGTAGGGCCTACAGGTGCAGGAACACTCCAGCATAGCAAATAAGAAAGGGGGTGTTTATTTAGATAACTTTATTCAGGCTTTTTATTTGTTAATAACTCATTTGCCTTTTTTACTGACTTGGTTATTGATGCTGGCAATGTGTAGATATAGTCGAAGGCTATACTAAGATTAATAGCTTTATTACTTTGATAGATAATCATAATTCAGGAACCAATAAATAATAGTTAAGGTCAAAAGATGAATTGGTTGCTGACCTGCACTTTGTACATTTTCTTTTTTCTTGGACCCCTGTGTAAATTTTTATTGTTTTGTGCCCTGCCTGAACAAATGACAAAGAAGGGACTATTCAGTGATGGACTATCTGTAAGATAACATTAGAGAAGTGTAAAATTCTTGTAAAACTTAGGAGACATTGCAAAGGGGAAATATTGCCAGAAAAGAGGGTGTCTGTGTATGTGTGTGTGTATTTATATAGAAACCATTACAATTACAGAGAGTATGTACACACACAAAATATGAATGTGGATTCACATAGACATTTATGTGAATGTATGCAAAAATTTTTATACCAAAATATGTTTTACCTATTTTGTAACTAGGTTTTCAGTCATGTATAATAAAAATAGAATTGGCTTAGGTAAAAGAAGATCAAATATTTAGTGCTTTATCTTCCAGTTAACTTTGAACAAGCTACCTTTCGGTCTCCACTTTTTTTTTTTTTAGCTATAAAACAACTTGGTAGGGTTGCTGAGAGGATTAATGAGATATTGTGTATGTAAAAATTACTCCCATTACTGGCATAAATTAGGATGAACCCTATGAAACTTTTGGTCAAAAAGTGTTCAATATTGGCAATTATGCATTGCTCAACCCAAGTAATTGCTGTCATTGTTACTATTATCAGCATTACGTAGCAGAGATGATACGAGAATTGAAGACAATGGATAATATACAGTTAGCATAGTGCCTGGTAAGAGTAGATGTTCTGTAAATTGTTCCTTTCCTGATCCTCCCTTTTTGTTACATTTTAGATTTTCTAATAGAGCATTTATTTTTATACTTTAAATTTCATAATAAGGCACAATTGTCAGAACTTAAAGAAGCCTAACATTTGAATCAATATCTCTGGAAAGTTTACCTAAACCTTAAAACAAGCTTGAAATTTGGAAATGTAGCCAGGGCTCATGTTAAAATTGACAGAGGCTTTACATTCCACCAGCCCTCTTAGGATAATATTCCTAAAGCACTGCTTTCATCTTGACTCACCCTCTTAGGATAATATTCCTAAAGCACTGCTTTCATCTTGACTCACCTTTTCAAGAATGCATGATATCTACATTAAATCAAATTTAAAGCTACCCTATAATCTGGCTCACAGAATCTTACCCCCTAGTGTCTACTCTGACTCCAGTCAAATTCGTTCTCTCACTGCCTCGTGAACTTCTATTCTCAAATGGTTTCTTACTCATCTTCAATCCTGTAAGTCCCTCCATGTTAAGTCCCATTTCCTACATTTCTTGACAACTTGAACTTATAGGGACCACTACCATCTTTTCTCTGATTGCAGTTAACTCTTTTAACCAACTTTTTCAGGACTTAATTATAGTATGGTGTATTGTTTTATAAACCAGTGAGTTTAATAATAGTGAATGCTTTTTTGAGGACACAGATCACATTTCTTCTGCTTCTTAAATTAGCCCTTTTATATTTTGATCTTTGACTGATTGATCGATTACTTCTATTTTAGTCTTACAGAGAGACGTTTGTGTTCAGGTTTTTTCAAAAGTTGTTTAATTTATTTGAGCTGTAAAAGTGACGACTTTTAAAAAGATCATTTTACACTATGTGGATGTGTACCCATTCCCCTCCCTTACAGAAACAGCAAAAAAATGCCTCTTTTCAAATTAGTGTTAATACAGTTTTACACAACTACAATATAATATTGATATTCTCTGCCCATATTCAGTACCTATAGTTTAGTGCCAAACTGATAAACATAATGATAAAAAAATTGTTCAAATCATTTGGTATTTTTTTTGATAAGTACACCAGTAGATAATTTACTTTTAACACTTATTTTAAGCCAATTGATTATACCTAACTTAGAATGGTTTACTCCCATATTCAGTTTTCTTTAATTCTCGCTGATTTAATATCTCCTTCTGCTATGCTCTTCCCTATAAAATCAGAAGTGATTTCCTTAGGACTTGTGTATTTATTACATAAATTTGGCAGATCCATCTTTTCATCTATTTTCTTAAGATCACATTGATCATTTAGGTTGTATTTATTAATATATTTTTAATGTTTGAAAGGAAAAAAAACATGTGTTTTTTTTCTCTCTAACCTGACTTCCTTTATGAGATCCAGCCAGCCATCTGTCTTTATAAAATATCACTTTCATAAAGCCTTTCATGATCAAAAATAACATTCATAAAAAGCTTTGCAAAATGAAATTTCTGTGCAATGAAAAAATAGGACAGGCATAAATGTTGAGGCACTTTATCTCATATATCACATTTCTTCTTCATCTGAGGAAATGTTTTTGTCTGTCTCTGTATTGCCGTAATTGTAATTCCCTAAAGTAAGAACTGGATTTTCTTGATATCTGACTTAGAGTCAAGATGGGGTTGGCTTATGATAAATAATAACAACATTCAGTCCTAATCAGTGACTCTTTGGAAGTAAATTGCACAAAAACTATTTAACTGCATGTTTTTGCAGACACTGACTTTGTATGATACTTACAGTAATAGTGATAGCTGCCATTTATTGAGAGCTTAATATGCCTGGCACTATGCTAGGTCCCTTCCATGTCTTATTGCTAATTTTTGTAATAACTCTGCAAGATAAGTATTATTATCCCCATTTTAATAATGGAAGAACTGAATGACAAAATTTGTAACATACATAAAGTTAGAGATTTCTATTCTAATAAATAGAAGTGCTGCTTGGAATTCACAAGAAGTCTGTCTAACGCCAAAGAATTACTTCTTTTTAAATAATGACAACAACAGCAATAAAATAATAGCTAAAATATATTGAGATTTTACTAAGTGCCAGACAATATCCTAAGCTGGTATTATCTCATGCATAAATTATATTTAATGGTATATAAACCTAATTTTTCTTTAAAAATTTAGCAAACATTATTTTCATTTTTAGCACGGTAATAGGTTATCTTTTTTATTTTTATTTATGTATTTATTTATTTATTTAAAGAAAACCCCTTCTAATTATAACTTGGAGCTTGAGATTTCTTAGTGCTTCTCTTCCCCAGGACCTAGAAGCTGATTACAGTATGTTGGCAGGTTTATCGCAACTCAGTGTGTTTTTCCTTCATAGTTCCCAAAATGTGCTATAGTCACTGTGTAAAGAGAAAATACATTTTATTCAAGGTCTGACTTATGCAATCAACACAATCAGGTGGCTATAGTATAGCCAGAATACATACCTATTAATTTAAAATAGAACATATCATTTTACTGTTTAAATCCATTATCCAAGTTACCTCTTTTTCTAATAACAGAGAATTAGGGTATTCAACTTATACTCAGATTTTCTCAGTGATCATAATATTTAATAATTTATATTATTTATTTTCTATTATTGGCATAACTGTGAAAGAACGAGTTGATTTTATATTGACTTTTAGGTTATTTTTAAGAACTGCATTTAAAAGGTCTGCAATGTCTTTTAGGTCATCTTTTAAGGTTACATTGCCTGTACGATAAATGCTGTATTTGGGGACAAGTATATTTAACTCTACAAAGTCTTACCCTAAAAGAGACTGCTGCTGATATAAGGACACGTTTTGTATAAAACATAAATCACTATTGCTTTGAACTGTGTGATCCCTTTGCCTCATAAAACCTAAAGACCTTACTTCTTTTCGTATTTCACTAGATTTTATTTTGAACTCATAAAG